CCCTCGGGGGAGGGCCCCGGCCCTAAAGAAAAAAAAAAAAAAAAAAAAAAAAAAAAAAGGGAATCCAGTTAATAAATAAAGTAGACAGAATTTAAATCCCACCATTTTAAAACTCATAATGAAATAATGGATCTAGGCAATGATCATCAGTGCCCACTAAAACTCAGATAAAAAGCTGATGAGGGATTGGTCTCTGAGACCTGAAAGTTGACAACTTTTTTGCATCCAGGAGGCTGCTCCCGATGACTCTGCAGCCATCACCATGCCACAAAACGAATATATTGAATTACATTGTAAATGCTATGGATACCATTTGGATTACCATGAGAATAAAGGAAGGAAAGTCGGGATACTCATGAACATTCAAAGAAGGCAAAAAAGATGATTGGTCTGAAGGCTAAGCTCTATCATAAACAGTGTGCCTTACTGAGAAAATACAAATGAAAAAGACTATCAAGAACACCAAATGGAAGAATGATGAAAAGACTCCACAAGGAGCAGCACCTGCCTATCTGTTGGGCAGAGAAAGACAGTCCCAAGCTAAAGTTCTTTCCAATATGATTAAACAAAAATGAAAAGAGAAAGTGGGAAAATGGGAAGTCCTTCTACCCAAAGTTTGAGCCCAGGGAGAAACAGAAGTATTAAAAGTTATTCGAACAGGAAAGAGAAAGAAGGCATGGAAGAGGATGGTTACAAAAGTCTACTTTGTTGAAGATGACTTTACTAGAAAACCACCTAAATATGAAATATTCATTAGGACAATGGGCTTGCGTTTAAAGAAGGCCCATGTAACACATCCTGAACTGAAAGCTACCTTTTGCCTGCCAATACTCGGTGTAACAAAGAATTCCTCAACCCCACTAGATACAACTTTGGGCGTTATCACCAAAGGTACTGTCATTGAGGTGAACATGAGTGAGTTGGGCCTTGTGGCACAAGGAGGCAAGGTTATTTGGGGGAAATATGCACAAGTTACCAACAATGCTGAAAATAATATATGCATAAAGGCTGTCTTACTGGTTTGATAGCAGTTGCATACAAATAATTCCTTGTAATTTTTGAAGATGGTATACCATCTGCAAAGCCACCATGACTGATGTTTCTGAACATAGCTGGTCTTACATGTCTGCAGTCATCAAAAGATTATTTATGGGGCCGGGTAGGTGGTGTGGTGGTTAAGGGTGCCAGACTCCCACATGGTGGACTGTGATTCGAGTCCTGGACCTGGCAGCTTGCCTTCTCACTTTTTCTCTCTCTATCTCCCTCTCTCTCTGGCTTGCTCACTCTATCCTTCTCTGGTCAAATTTAAATAAATAAATAAATAAATTTCAATTTAAAAATATTTTTTAAAAAAGATTATTAAGTTGTACAAAAACATTAAAGTGGCCTGGTTTTACAAAAAAAAAAAAAAAATGCTGATGAGGGATGGTGTAATGTGTAATGGTTATGCTGCTGGACTCTGAAGTAGCCGACCACAGTTCAAGTCCCATAACTGATGGCTTAAAACTCACACTGGGCACATGTGTTTGAGTACCCAAAATCCCGAGAAAAGAATGGAGGAGAAGGGATTGTGGCATGGCCATCCCCCTGCAAGGTTGGCGGGGGGGGTGATTTCTCGCTTTCTGTCCCTTTGTCTCTCTCTCTGTCTCTCTGGCAAGTACACGTGCC